TCAACTCCCAGAATTCTGGGAGTTGAAGTCCTCCAGGCTTAAAGTTGCCAAGGTTGGAGACCCCTGCCCTAAGGAATAAGATACGAACCAGATCTTTCCTAAAAGCGGCCACCAAATTAATGTTTTCAATGCGAGTAAAAAGGAAATCACATAGGGAAAGATGAGCTGAACTGTTTTTAATTGCTTCAAAATTCTATTCCTTTCTGTGAGAAGTTTTATATCAAAATATATTTTATCCTTTATACTGTTTCCATCTTCCCTTAAAACATCAACAGAATCTACAATGGACTGAGAATCAGCGTTTCCACTAGATAATTGACAGTCAAAGATGAAACTGAGTTAATAACGTGAGAATACCAAACTTCCTCAAACCCCCACCCCCCCAAAAAAAATAAGTTACCCAGACCTATGTAAGCACAAATAGAGTTAATTAAATTGGGTCTCCCAGTGGAACTGCATGTTCACAACAATGAACACTATAGAAAGACAAACATACATACACCCCTCAAGTCTCACTCTAGAACAGGGGTCTCCAAACTTGGCAACTTTAAGACTCGTGGACTTCAACTCCCAGAATTCTCCAGTCAGCTAAGTTTTGGGGACCCCTGCTCTAGAAGCAGCACAAAGATACTTCCACACCAGGACAAGCTCCCCTATAAAAGTCTGTTGCTGTAACCCCATTTCTCTGCAGTTACCCCTAAAGGCAAACTGTTTGCTTTTAGGAACAAAATATTTCTTCTTTTGTCAGAGCTGTCTGGATCTCATTTTTATTTACTCTTGTGCAACCCTGGCTCGAGTTGGAATCCCAAATTATTCTTCTGACAGTTCCAACATAACTGAACCACTTATACTTCAATATATAATACATGTCAAGGGGGGAACCTTGATATCATCTATCCCAAAGGCCCTTTGAAAGAGGCAAGTCTTAATGGCCTTTCAAAACCCCTTTAGGAGTGATATCCGATTTCCTTTGGATACTTTTCAAAGAAGTGGGACACGAATAGAACTATACAAGTACTCCTCGACTTACAACCACAATTGAGACCAAATTTCTGTTGCGAAGGGAGATAGTTGTTAAGTGAGTTTTGCCCCATTTTACAACACAGTTGTTTAGTGAATCACTGTAGGTGTTAAGTTAGTAACACAGCTGTTACTCTAAGCGAATCTGGCATCCCCATCAGAGGTGGTATTCAGCAGGTTCTGACCAGTTCTGGAGAACCAGTAGTGGAAATTTTGAGTAGTTCGGAGAACTGGCAAATTCCATCTCTGACTGGCCCCGCCAACCCCATCTCTTCTCCGCCTCCCATTGAGTTCCAGCTGATCGGCTGAGTCTCCTTTGGTTGCCATGCACAGGAGAACAGACCTGGAAAGCAGGTTAGTGGGTGGGGGAGGGAATGGGGATTTTGCAGTAACCTTCCCCTGCCACGCCCACCAACTCACGCCCACAGAACTGGTAGCAATAAAAGTTTGAATCCCATCACTGATCCCCTGGGACATTGCACCTGTCATAAATACGTGTCAGTTGCCAAGCATCTGAATTTTGATCATGCTGCAATGGTCATGTGGAAAACAGTCATAAGTCACTTACTGCAAAAGGCAGTAGGTCAGACCAAGCATCCTGTTGGTAATTGATATAACATTCTAAGATATTGTTCCAATACCAAGTTAGTTCTCTCACAGGCTCCATTGGTTTGTGGTGGTGGGCGGAGGTTAAGCCCTGGGCGGAGCCCAATAACTTCAAGAATTCCTTCCAGAAATTTGAAGTAAATTGGACCCCCCCCATCTGAAATTATCCGTTCAGGAACACCATGTAGTCTATACACATGTAAGATAAACAGTTTAGCCAAAGTTTCTGCAGAAGGAATTTTCGCACAGGGTATGAAATGCACCTGCTTGGAAAACAAGTCAGTAACCACCCAAATGACTGTATTTCCTCCACTCTCAGGCAATTCCACTTAAAGTCCACGGAAATTTCCTTGAACAGTCACTAAATGAATGGTTGTAAGTCAAGGTCTACCTGTACTGTACACTGGGTTCTGAAAACAGGCAAAGGTACCCGGCAATTCACTCACCACGGCAGGAGGAAAGCAGCAGCTACACTCATTCCAGCTGCAACGGCCACCACGTAAGTCATCACAAGGTTGCTTTCCAAAATCACAACTGAGATGAGGAAAGGCGTGGCAGACTGAAGGATGAGAAGAGAAGACGTGCTCAGGAAGATCGCTTGGATTAAAACCTGAATGAACTTACGCAATTTTGCACCTTAAGACAACAGAATAGAAAAGGGATTTTGGCTACAAAAGGGTCTCAAGAAAATTGGGCTACCTTGAGACTAAGAATGACTTGATCTTTAAGGGAAACTTGTCGACTTCTCTTTTTTTGGGTGGGTGCTTCTTTCCTTACTTGACCACGGTTGCTCATGAGAATCTATCAATAATTCAGAGCGGTTTCCTTATTCTTGCTCGGATACAACCATGGGTGGAGATGAAACCTCTCCAAATGTCTATCAGTCCATAGATATTTAGACTTGAAACTTATCGGTTACTTTACATTTGACTGCGATAGAAGTTGTTGAACTGGTTCATGCATCATGCTGAGTCATATTTCGACTCATCAAGGTTTATTGAATAAGCCACCATTGGCTGGTTTCATACCTTACTCTAAATCAGGGGCCTCCAAACATGGCCACTTTAAGACTTGAGGACGTCAACTCCCAGAATTCCCCAGGGAATTCTGGGAGTTGATGTCCACAGGTCTTAATGTTGCCAAGTTTGGAGACACCTGCTCTAAATCACAACTATATATAGAACAGCTGGGTACGCACATGCTACCAAGACCTAGCAAAATGCAACCAACCAAATTATTTCTTAGCCTGTTTTGCACGCAATACCATTGTATCTATGGAGATTCTCATGGTTGTCCCAAAAGTTGCTTTTTCAAGAGGCAACTGGACTCGCTGTTTTTTCTTTGAAGATGTTTTGATTCTCATCCAAGAAGCTTCAAAGAAAAACAGAAAGTCCAGTTGCCTCTTGAACAAGAACCTTTGGGACAAGGCCACTGTATCCACCAATGAGAACAGTCTGGGCACCAGAGGTGGTATTCAGCAGGTTGTGACCAGTTCTGGAGAACCGGTAGCGGAAAATCTGAGTAGTTCGGAGAATCAGCAAATCCCACCTCTGACTGGCCCCGCCCCCATCTATGCTCCCCCTCCCAAGTCCCAGCTGATTGGCTGAGTCTTCTTTTGTTGTCCTGCACAGGAGAATGGAGCTGGAAAGCAGGTGAGTGAGGTGGGGAGGGAAGGGGGATTTTGCAGGATCCTTCCCCTGCCACGCCCACCAAGCCATGCCCACAGAACCGGTAGTAAAAAAATTTGAATCCCACCACTGCTGGGCACCACAGTTCAACCCCATCCTGTCTGAGATTATCCCAATCAGGTCCTCAGGGTTTGTTCTCTGAAAATATAAATAGGACACACCTGGAGCAGGTTAGTCCTGCTAACAGGTCTTAGCCCTGTCCAAAAACCGATGTTTCCAAAATAAACATTCAGTTTCTGCTGCAGCATTAATAGGCCCCAGAGAAGGCCCTGCATGAAGCTTAACTCCCACAGCTGCATGTGTTTGAATCATTACTTGAACGATTTTCATGGCGGCCTCGTTCAGAAGTTACCTAAGCAGGGAATAGGACTACATTATTTCCCCACTACGGCCATAATTGAGTCACACGTTGTGCCAGTCATTAAGCAGATCAACCTATGACCATGCCTGATTTTACGATCTTTTTTTTTACAGCGGTGGTTAAGTGAACACTGTGGTTGCTAAGCGAACACCATGGTCGTAAAGTGAACACAGCAGTTATTAAGCATACCCATTTTAGCTCATGTGCATTTTTTGTTGGGAACTGAAAGTAAACCCTGGTTTCTGGCAAAAAAAAAAAAAAGTTGTAAATCACAAACAATTTGATTGGAAACATTGCAAACTCTTATAAATGCAGACCGGTTACCAAATGCCCGAAATGCAATCACGTAATCATGGGAGGAGGAGCAGTTATTGTAACATTGAAATTAAGTCGTAAGTACCTTTTGGGGGAATCTGTTGTAACTTTGAATGGTCACTAAGCGACCGGTCATAAGATGAGGACTATTGGTATTCACTCACCGAGATGCCAATGTAAACAGCAGTTTTCTTCCCAAAACGTATAAGGAACCACTGCCACAAAGGGATGGTCAGCGTGGCTGAGAGCTGCAAGAGAAACAACAAAAGGGAAAGAAAAGAATGTTTATTATACTGTAGATGGGATTCGACCTACAACCACAATTGGGGTCAGAATTTCTGTTGTTAAGCAAGGCATTGTTAAGTGAATCACAGGCCATTTTATGACGTTTTTGCCATCGTCGTTAAGAGAATCATTGCATTTGTTGAGTGAATCCTACAGTCACTAAGCAAATTCGGTTTCCCTCATTGTCTTTGCTTGTCAGAACCTGGTTGGAAATGCTGATCATGTGACTTCCGGACACTGCAACCGTCATAAGTACATGCCAGTTGCCAAGCATTTGTAAATACATGCCAGTTGCCAAAATTTTGGTCACACAATCATGGGGCTGCTGCGATGTTCATAAGGGCAAACATCGGTTGTAAGTCACTTTTTTCAGCACCGTCGTGATTTCAAATGGTCACTAAACAAGGACCATTGCAAGTCGAGGACTACCTGTATTTAAGTCAACCAGAAGAAGACTTTGCATGGGTTTTGTGGCAGCCTAAAATGCCACGTGTGAAGAATCTGCTGCTCTGATTACCACTATTTCTATCGTATTTTTGTATACATGGATTGCCATCAAGCTTCATCCATTAAAATGTGCAGAAAGTGAAAACTCTTTCCAAAGCCATGTTTAGAAATCCATTGGAGCATAAAGAAGGGAGAGATCCAGTTTAGTACAGTGGTTAAGAATTCAGGCTAGAAACCAGGAGAGGAGTTGTAGTCAGACATTAGGCACAAAGCCCAATGGATGATCTTGAGCCAGTCCCTGTCACTTAAGCAAACCGCTTCTGCAAATCTTATTGAGAAAACTGCAGGGACTTTTTCCAGGAAGTCATCAGGGGGTCAAAAACTGACTCAAAGGCACCCAAAACAAACAGATAATAAAATAAAGGGGAAGTTATCTATTTTTTCAAGCATTCCCCCCCCCTTTCCTTTCCTTTTTTCTCAGGATCATTCTTTTTTTTAGCTTTTAATATTCATAAACAACAATAAATAACATTACAGTGGAGACCTCAGTATTATTCACCAAGCTCAAGATACAAATCATAATTATGTTATAAAGTAATTGTATGCCTTTTGCGACAGGCTATCAATGCCACTTATTTTTAACTTCACAGTTCAAGCAACCTTAAGTTCATTAACATTTCAGAATTATAGTTAACATCAATATAAACTCCCCCCTTATCTTTAAAGCTTTAAGTTATCTAAATTAGCACACTGTTAACAATTTTTAATTCATATTTTACATTTTTTCTCTCTATTGAGCTATCTACTATCTGCATTCTTTTAAGATATTATTTGCATCTTATAATGCAATAAAACAATTACAGTAACCACATACACAAAACCAAGTTTTCCCCATTGGACAGGCTAATATAAACATCCCCAACACCATCTGAGACTCCCTACTCTTTTGGCCTAGCCTGGTTAGAAATTTCCGTACAGCAATAAAGTAACTTGACTCACTTCCTGCTCAGTTATAACGAAGAGAAGCAGAAAGGCTGAACCCACTGATTACAGACCCAACTTACGGCCACCACTGAGCGCAAATTTTTTTTTGTTGCTAAGAGAGTTTTGCCCCATTTTGCAATCTTGCTTGCCACCGTTGTTAAGAATCACTGCAGTAGTTAAATTTGTCACACGTTTGTTAAGTGAATCTGGCTTCCCTATTGCAAAAAAGTTGATGGTACATTTTATCACATGTGGTGGATGTGCCCTGAGGCCAGGACATACTGGATTCAAATTAAAAATTGGTTAAAAGAGATCACTGGCTATCAGATTGAGCTCAGACCGGAATCCTTCTTTTTAGGAATCCTCAAAGAAAGTTTACCGAAAGAAGTAAAATACTTAGTGTTACATATTGCAACAGCTGCCAGAATAGCCTTTGCGCAGGTATGGAAAACACCAAATACCCCCAATGAAGAACTAATAATACAGAAAGTAAACAGAAAGTGCTGAGATGAATATGCTAACAATGAAATTGAAAGAAAAAGACGACTCTGAATTCTTTACAATTTGGAACAATTGGTATAAATGGCTAACAAACAGAACCAAGAAGCGAGACAAAAATGTTAATTGAAACAACCCTTAAGAAAGTAAAATAAAATTTTGTAAACTATATAAAGATGTAAGAATAGTAATTATAGCTAAAGATATTATTTAATAGTAGACAAATGCAATATAATGTTTTATGATATTTAAACCAAAATCCTGTATAGATGCCAAGAACGTTGTTGATACCAAGATGTTTTACGATGTAAAAAAAAAAGAAAATTAACAAAAAATATATTTTTTTAAAAAAGAATCTGGCTTCCCCATTAACTTTGCTTGTCTGAAGGTCGCAAAAGGGGATCAGATAACAGATAATCAGAGTTGGAAGGGACCTTATAGGTCATCTAGTCCAACCCCCCCGCCCAAGCGGGAGACCCTACACCATTTCTGACAAATGGCAGTCCAGTCTCTTGAAAGCCTCCAGTGATGGCGCTCCCACAACTTCCAAAGGCAAGCTGTTCCATTGGTTGATTGTTCTCACTGTCAAAACATTTCTCCTTATATCCAGGTTGAATCTCTCCTTGTTCAGTTTCCATCCATTATTCCTTGTCTGGCCTACTGGCTATTTAGAAAACAGCTTGACCCCTTCCTCTTCCCTGTGGCAGCCCCCCAAATATTGGAAGACCACTATCATGTCTCCCCTGGTCCTTCTCTTCCCTAGACTAGCCATGCCCAGTTCCTGCAACTGTTCATCGTATGTTTTAGCCTCCAGTCCCCTAATCCTCCTGGTTGCTCTTCTCTGCACTTTTTCTAGAGCCTCAACATCTTTTTTATAGTGTGGTGACCAAAACTGGATGCAGTACTCTAGGTGTGGTCTTACTAAGGCTTTATAGAGTGGTATTAGTACCTCATTTGATCTCGATTGTATCCCTCTGTTAATGCAACTTAGGATTGCATTAGCTTTTTTGGCTGCTGCTGCTGCACACTGCTGGCTCCTATTTAGCTGGTTGTCCACTCCAAGATCCCTCTCCCAGTTACTGCCACTGAGCCTGGTTTTACCCAGTCTATATATGCACTTTTGGTTTTTCTTGCCTAAGTGTAGGACTTTACTTTTCTCTACATTGAATTTCATTTTGTTAGATATGGCCCAGTGTTCTAGTCTGTCAAAATCCATCTGGATCTTGAGCCTAGCTTCTTGGGTCTTATCTATTCCTACCAGCTTATTATCATCTGCAAATTTGGTAAGTTCCCCTTCTATTCCCTCATCTAAGTCGTTAAGGAAGATATATCACATGACACCAGGACACTGCAACCGTCATAAATACGAGTCAGTTGCCAAGTGTCCGAATTTTGATCACCTAACCATGGGGATTCTGCAACGGTCGTAAGTGTGAAAAACGGTCATAGGTAGCTTTTTTCAGTGTCATTGTAACTTCAAATGGACACTAAATGAATGTTTATAAATTGAGGACTACCTGTAGACCAGAAGTGGGTTTAGATTCCACAAAGAAGGAATTTAAGTTTGATGACCTGAGGGAGGCTAAAGATTCACAATTAGTTTTGTCAGTTTTTCTCGCTTATGTTTAGTTTTATTTTTAGTTGATGTTCAGTGTATTGTGGCAACTTGGGAAACAGGCTAATTCAGGCTCTATGTGCAGCATGTTATAAGAATGTGCTTTATGCCAAAGTCACAAGAGCCATAGGCTGAAATAAGGAAGCAACGTGGCTTTTCTGAGCATCCATATATATTCTTTTATGCCTAGATCTCGGCTCCACCTGCTGTTTGTGAAAAGTTTCGTTTACATCAGGGGGGAGAAAAAACTTTCCACAAACAGCAGATGGAGCACAGAGATATGGACATGTTTCAATTCAAAGCAACCTCCCCCCTCCCCCAAATGTAGTCTAGCATCATTTTTATATTCAGTCACACCCTTGGACCGGCAAAAGCATTCTTGGGAAATATAAATAGCAGCTGTTAGCAAACCAAAGCTTTGTTTGGAATCATATCCAGGGGAAAAACTAAAAGCAAAAAGCGTGAGAAGAGATTGGCCATCTATTCTTTGAATAATGCAAGACTGGCTTCTAAGGGCCGACCCTCGTCTCCCGCTGCTGTGGCCCAGACAAAGTCTTAATCTCCCAGGGAAGCGCGGGGGGGGGGGGGCGTGAGTGAAGGGTTGGCGGCTGGGGATTGCAATGGCTCTTTGGCTGAAAGGGCTTCAACATCCCTCAAAAGCGTCTCTTCCATTCATGACCAGGCTGCCTCAAATATAAAGCTGAGCCGCCAACAACGGACGGACGTCCATCGGAATGAGCTAAAAATGGCTGCTTTGAAGCTGCTGTTCCCATTCAGCTCGGCTCTTCCCCAAAAGGCTGCTCTACATATTAATAGCATCTTGGAATCCTGGATGGCAAAAAGCCTCAGTGGCAGCAGCTTTGCATAACAGAAAACTTGCATATCAGCTCCTCCCTTTGGCAACATTCTAGTCCACAGCAGATTTTCTTCCAATGTGGGAAATTGAGCCCCCTCTTCCTGCTTTCAGTCGTAACAGTCCCATCGCATTTGAAATAAAAAAAACAGAGGAGAAACTAGCAGTTTGAGCAGAGGTGGCATTCAGCAGGTTCTGAGCAGTTCTGGAGAACCGGTAGCGGAAATTTTGAGTAGTTCGGAGAACCGGCAAATCCCACCTCTGACTGGCCCCGCCCCCATCTCTTCTCTGCCTCCCATTGAGTCCCAGCTGATCGGCTGGGTCTTCTTTGGTTGCCCTGCACAGGAGAATGGAGCTGGAAAGCAGGTTAGTGGGGTGGGGCTGGGAAGGAATGGGATTTTGCAGTATCCTTCCCAAGCCACGGCCACAGAACTGGTAGTCAAAAAATTTGAATCCCACCACTGAGTTTGAGGAGAAACTAGCCGTACGGGGCATTTTGATTCTCATTTTTGATGACCTACTTCTAAAGATTCTATCACCACTGGAATAAGGAGTATTCAATTTACAACCATTCTTGTAGTGACCATTCAAAGTTACAACGACTTACAACTGTTCCTCTCACTTAAGGCCAACGTAGCAGGATGATCTCCACTTGCGACTTTCCTGACTGGTTTTTGGGAAGCTAAGGCCATAGGAGGAGCCAGATTCACTTAACAACCTCATTATTCACTGCAGTGATTCGCTGAACAACCATTGCAAAAAACTGAGCACAACTCGCTTAGCAACCATCTTGCTTGGCAATGGAAATTCTGCCCCCAGTTGTGCTTGCAAAGTCAAGGACTACATGCATGACAGACACTAATAGCAGTTGGAGCACATCAGTGCCCATAAATTTTCCCCTTGCTTCCCTTTATTGACACCCTTCGCTGCTTGTGCATAAGGACCCTTTGGCCACGTTCCAATAACCCACTGACCGGGGTCTTGAGTTAAACCTAACTTTGGGGTCATGCAGAATGCATCGGACCGTAAATTAATCAGAGAGGCTGAGTAAACGCAATATTCTAAAAGCATCAAAAGGGACACGGGGGCTCAGTGGCTAAGATGTTGAGCTTGTCGATCAGAAAGGTCGGCAGTTCGGCGGTTCGAATCCTTAGTGCCGCGTAACGGAGTGAGATCCCATTACTTGTCCCAGCTTCTGCCAACCTAGCAGTTCAAAAGCGTGTAAAAATGCAAGATGAAAAATAGGGACCACTTTGGTGGGAAGGTCAGTGTTCTGTGCACCTTTGGCATTTAGTCATGCCGGCCACATGGCCATGGAGACGTCTTCGGACAGCGCTGGCTCTTTCGCTTTGTAACAGAGATGAGCATCGCCCCCTAGAGCCGGAAACGACTAGCACGTATGTGTGAGGGGAAGCTTTACCTTTATCTTTAAAGCAGTGGTGGGATTCAAAAATTTTTTACTATTGGTTCTGTGGGCATAGCTTGGTGGGCATGGCAGGGGAAGGAGGATACTGTAAAATCTCCAAACTTTGCTGTTTGCCGTTCTAAAACTACTAAAAATTTCCGCTACTGGTTTCTCCAGAACTGGTCAGAACCTGCTGAAGACCACCTCCGCTTTAAAGGCATCGAAAACACAAGGCAAGCTCAAAGCTCAAAACAAACTTCTCAAGTTTGGCATGTAGGTTTGTAATTGACTTGGTAAAAGCTTGGAATAGGTGTGATGCTCTGGTGTGTGTGTGTGTGTGTGTGTGTGTGTGTGTGTGTGAACGACCATGTTAACATTTTCCTCTTTTTGAGAACGTGGGAAAGGAAAGCAAATTAGCAAATGACAGGTGGGAGTTTACAGCCCTAAATCTGAGGTCTGCTGTCAGCTACAGTTCAAAGTCATCCTTCAGATCAGGGGTCCCCAACCACCGGTCCGCGGACCGGTACCAGTCCGCGGAACAAGTCCTACCGGGCCGCTGGCTTGCTGGGCGCTGCCATCTTTTTTTGATGAAAAAGTGCTTCCGGTGAGCTTTTCCGGGTAGAAAGCTCACCGGAAGCACTTTTTCATCAAAAAAAGATGGCGGCGCCCAGCTGATGCCGGTACCGGGCCGTGGCGTAAAAAAGGTTGGGGATCACTGCTTCAGATGACTTGCAAAGTTGTGGAGTTTTGTTTTTTGTTTTTAAAGCATTTCTACATTTTGATGGGTTTGGCAATTGGGATTCCCCCAGACGGTTAGATTAGTTTAGGCTCCAGTGCATTGGATAGATCCACCCCCCAAATGGGCTACTTTCTTCCGTGCTCCTTGGAAAGACGGGGGGGGGGGGTTGGTTTCTACTCCTTTCTGGCTTGGCACAAAGCCTGGTCTTTTCTTCTTCCCCCCTCTCCTCCTTCTCAGGCCTTCTCAGACAACTTGGCTCCAAGACTTCCATTCCGAGCCTGATCAAGACAGCTTTTTCTCTCTCTCTCTCTCTCGTGATGAAGGGCCGGCAGGAGGGGAGAAAAACGGCAGGCTTTGGACAAAAGATCAGCCTGGGTTTTGGTTTCGCGTATCTTTTCAGACCAGCTTCTAAAAGCACACAAAGAACGCGTTGTTTTGTGATCAACGACTCCGTCTTTCTAAGAAAGAGGGTTAATCGCCTGGGCTCGGCTCCTTTTGAAGGGTGGCTTTCCCCACTGAACGTCCTCCGGTTCTCTTGCAGAATCCGACAGCGGAAAGACTTCTCCCACGAGGACGCTCTTCACTTTACTACAGGCGGTCCTCGACTTACGGCCACGGCGGAGCCCAACATTTCCAGAGAGACGGTTCGTTAAGTGAGTTTTGCCCCATTTTACCACCTTTCTTGCCGTGGTTGTTAAGTGAATCACTGCAGGCTGTTAAGTCGGTAACCTGGTTGTTGAGTGAATCTGGCTTCCCCGTTGACTTTGCTTGCCGGAAGGTCGCAAAAGGGGGATCATGTGACCCCCGGGACACGGCAACCGTCATAAGTACATGCCAGTTGCCAATCTTCTGAATTTTGATCATTGACCATGGGGATGCTGCAGCTGGCGTAAGCGTGAAAGACGGTCATAAGTTACTTTTTTTCATGCCGTTGTAACTTCAAATGATCACTAAAATGAATGGTTGTAAATCAAGGACTACTTGTGCTGAGCAGCCCAGCCCTGGGATCTATTGGGTGAAGCCTTGCCGGGAAAGACCTGATCTCTGGTCTAGCCGTCTCTGCCGAGGATCTAAGATTCACAGGGCAAGAATAAAGGCCCACTTGTTATCTGTGAGTTATTGGCAAGATTCATTAGCTCTGTGTGCCTTGCCTAAATAGGACAGGTAGTTTAATACAGTATATCTTTATTAGCTCGATACCTGTGCTTCACTATGAAGCTATGTGGCTGGGCTTAGTTTTTTTGGGAAGAGGAAATAAGGGGGAAAAAATTGTGCCTCTGCCTACCAGCATCCATCGGTATTCATCTGGCTAGCGTGAGAGAGTTGAGGGCTGTTTGGAAACTGAAATATGGAAACTGAAACCGTATTTGCTGTGTGAGCAACAAGGAGACAGCAAGGAGCCTGGGCATGGCTTAACTCAACTGTTCTGTACTAAAGTTGCTTCCTGCTGTGAAAGTAAAACTGAAACTCCTCTGCTTGTGTTTTGCATTGGGAACAGATTTCTTTTCAGGTGGGGAGGGGGAATAGAACTCCTTAGCATCAGAGCGTGTGAATAATAATATATGAAATATTGATGCTCTGAAAAATCCTTTCTTAGTGAGCACCTAGAAGCCAAGAGGAACATACGTGCCAAATTTCAAGTTTGTAGGCTTTATGGTTCTGGAGATTTTGTGATGATGCCTGAGTGATATTTTGCTTTTATATATATATATATAGATTTGTGCCTAAGTAAAGAGAGGAACCCCATGGATGAAAGGGAGGGGACCTCCCCCAAAATAGGGGATTGGTTTATATACAGTTCAAACACATTGGGTTTGGAATATGGAGAACAGTCTGTGTTACTTCAAAGAACTAGAAACATTAATCAAAAACTTTCCTAGTTATTGAAAATATTACTCAAAGAGATACTCAAACCCCTCTCTTGTTCCCATCACACACTTTGGAATATCCTCCCCTTGGAAATATGATCTGAATCTTGCTGACTTTGACACGTAACTTTAAGCACTTCTGTTTGAATTTGCTTTGGGTCATAGGTTTTCCGTAGGAGCCTCAATTATGGGGTCTTCATTGCATTCTTGTTTTCTTGAGCTAAGTTTTATGATATGGTGGCCCACTCAAGGTCCCCAAGAATAAATATTGGCAATATAAATAAATAATCCAACTTTAGGGTTGAGAAAGTATATTGAACTATAAAGTAATTAACTCTACCCAACATATTAAATCACACAAAAACTAACTAAGCAAGCTTAGTAGGTTATATAACATCAGCAGTAAATCTTGACCCAGCTAAAGCTGTCATGCCAGGGACAGTTGAACTCATGTAGAAAAAGGGGAAAGAAGAAAAGAAAGAAAGAAAGAAAGAGAAAGGAGGGAGGGAGGGAGGGAGGAAGGTCATTGCATGCCTTGCAGAACACATACCATGATGGCGAGCAGAATGTTCTGGAACTCGTTGCGGAACCCCAAGGTGTAAGTGCAGAACAAGGCAAAGTTCCCTTCCAACAGCTGGGAAGAAACAAGACATGTCAGTGGAAAAAAGCAAGAGTATTTTGGCAAGGAAAAAAAGGAAGATGGCAATTGAAAAAAAAAACAAAAAAACCCAACCCTTACCAGAATAGAGTTCTCCACAATGTTTCTCCACGTTGGCAATGTTAAGACGTATGGACTTCAACTCTCAGAAATCCCCAGCCCAAGAAGTCTGCTGAGTTGAAGTCCACACACATCTTAACATTGCCAAGGTGGAGAAATGCTGTTCTGTAAAATTCCAGAAGCGAAGTCCTGAAAGAATGCAGATCTTTGTTTTGACTACTTAAGGGGAGGAAAGTAGAGGAGAGGAGGCTATTGGAGAAATGCCAAAGAGAAGGAGAAAAGGTAGAGGCAATAAATATTCATTATATTCCCAGAGAGCTGAAGGGTGGAAAGTGGAATTCATTGTCCATTATTGAATTAGAAGCAAACAACAGAGCAGAAGGATTCAGCTGAGCAGTGGCCTCAGCATCACTTCCTGATATTTGGGCAGTACATTCTCCAAAATGTTGAGGCCGTGGGCATTCTTAAGGAGCATGTAGATTCAGAACATGTAGGGTCCTTCAACTTGGTCCAGACAATCAAAACAGACTTTCCAACAAGAGCTTTAGACATTTCCCAGGTTAAACTCTGAGAAGAAAGATCTGGGATCCCTTTAGGATGTACTCAAGATGCAGGTAATCCTTGACTTACAACCACAGTTGGGGCAAGAATTTCCATTGCTAAACAAGGCAGTTGTGAAGTAAGTCATGCCCAATTTTATTACCCTTTTTGCTATGGGAGTTAATTGAATCATGCAGTTGTTAAGCGAATTGGCTTCCCTCATTGACTTTGTCAGAAGCAACAGATGAGGAGGTCACAAATGGTGGATCCCTTGACTCTGGGACACTGCAAACACATGGTAAATACATGTTGGTTACCAAGGGCCCGAATTCTGAACACATGACTGTGAGGATGCTGCAACACTTGTAAGTATGAGGACCAATTGCAAGCCACCTTTTTCAGCATTTGCTGTAACGTTAAACTAAATGAATGGTTGTAAGTCAAGGTCTACCTGTGCTCTAGTACAGGGGTGTCAAACTCAATTTCATTGAGGCCTGCATCAGGGCTGTCAGGGTTGACCTTGCGGGGGGGGGGGCAAGTGGGCGTGGCTGACTGGGTGGGTGTGGCCAACTGGGTGGGCGTGGCCAGCTTGACACTACTCACTGGATGGAAGTGTGATGAAGAAGTTGTGATGGGAAAGACTGGAAGTTTTCTCACCATGAAAGCAAGGGAGGTGAACAGGAAAGCCGCAATCAGCTTGATGTAGGGTCCATGTTTCATAACCAGCTTCAGACCCTGGAAGAAGGAAACCGGCTCAGCCAACTGAAGTTCGGAAGACTCTGTGGAGCAAAGCACAAGGAGCAGGTGAGCATCTTCTCTTCCATGGACGTTCTGGATCGTAAGTATTTGGCTACCGTATTTCTAGAACACACCATTTGTTATTTTTCATGTTCTTGTGTAATTCCATCATTGTTCTTGTTTGCATAATTTATCCTAATTTTGCCAGCCAGAGGAGGAGGAGGAGGAGGAGGAGGAGGAGGA